AAACAACACAGCCTAGTTGATGGGATGGAAGAAACCAACTTTTGATGCTCATATCGTTCTTTTCTTTTCTTAGCCTAGTTGATGGAATGGTAAATACCAACTTTGGATTCTCTTATTGTTCTTTAGTTTTCTCAACCTAGTTGATTGATTGGTAAGGACCAACTTAGGATGATCATATCGATCCTTAGCTTTCTTAGTCATAGATGTTGGAATGGTACAGACCAACGCTTTAAACTCATTTCGTTCTTTAGTTTTCCCTGGCTATTTGAGGGAATGGTAGAGACCAACGTTTGATGCTCATATCGTTATTTAGTTTTCTCAGCCTAGTTGATGAATGGTAAAGACCAATTTTGTTATGCTCATATCGTTCTTTAGTTTTCTAGGCCTAGCTGGTGGAGTGGTAGAGACTATCGCTTGAAGCTCATATCGTTCTTTAGTTTTCTCAACCTAGTTGTTGGAATGGTACAGACCAACGTTTGACGCTCATATCGTTCTTTGCTTTTCTCTGCCTACTTGATGGAATGGTAAAGAAAAACCTTTGATTCTCATATAGTTCTGTAATTTTCTTACTCTAGTTGGTAGAAGTGTAGAGATCAACTTTTCATTCTCATATAGTTCTTTAGTTTTCTCAACCTAGTTGATAGAATGTTAAAGACCAACTTTTGATGATCATATCTTTCTTTACTTTCTTATCCTAGTTGATGGAATGGTAGAGACCAAGTTAGGTGCTCATAACGTTCTTTAGTTTTCTCAACCTAGCTGTTGGAATGGTAAAAACCAACTTTTGATGCTCATATCGTTCTTTACTTTTCTCAGCCTATTTTGTGTAATGGTAGAACCAACTTTTGATGCTCTTCTCCTTCTTTATTTTTCTCAGCATAGTTGATGGAATGGTAAAGAATTACTTTTGATGCTCATTTCGTTCTTTCGTTTTCTTAGCCTAGTTTTTGGAATCGTAGAGAACAACTTTTGATGTTGTTGAGTAAGGGCTGATAGAGATTCAAGAAAATTTATTCGTTTCGTACGTTGGAGTTGTTGCTAAACACGAAGCTACAAAATGGGCTGTCTTTGCTATGCCCACCAAGTATATCGAAATCGGATTTTTAACGCTATAAGAATTTAGAATTAATGCTGGTTATACAATTGTAAGTTGTCTTCCACCATTTCACCAAACAGTTTTCCATTTAACTTCACTGTTTTTAATACATATAATGTTATACTTTTCTTTAATGAAATACCACTAATCTTAGTCATTTGTGCATCGATTTAATCAATTGTTCGTTTCGTTTCAGCAAATTCTTCACGTTATTTGTACAGTTATGAAGTTATCATTCCTCATCAAGTGACCGCAGATGGCAATTTTCTGTCGTATGTCATCTCTCATGGCTACTCTTGGAATTATTTTCGCCGGCGCCGTCGGCGATCTTTGTCGGATGCGCAAGAGATATTTTACAAGTTACCGTTAAAGGGTCAAGAGGTGCAGTTGGCCGTAAGACCCAACTACAGGTATTTGTCTCCTGCTTTGAAAATTGAACATCGGTCATCTAAGTTGGACAGAATAAATGAAACCAGGGTGAAGGTGGGCCTAGAGCGGACGTGCTACTTTATCGGATCTGTTCACAATGTTTCTAATTCACTGGTATCAGTGTCGACTTGCAATGGAATAGTAAGTTGAAATAAGTTTCTTTTTACGATTTTATTCGATTTAAGATATTAGAATATTAACCTTGCTGGATATTTTTAAGGATCCCTTTTACAATTGTTATTAAATATTAATAAAATGTATTTCATTTAACATTACGAGAAAATTTGGTCAGCTGGTAAAAATCTAATAGTACAGTTTGTGTATTGGTTCCCATTAGCTGCTTTAGTTGTTGACAGAAAAAACAAATAATGAATATTAAATTTAAAAATGTTCATGTTTTGTCTTAGAATAAATTAAGTTAATTAGCCAAATTAATGACACGCCATTTTTTTCACCTCACAAAGAAGAATTTCAGAAATTCAATTCTGATGTTATATAATTCTTTAATCAGTCATCACTGCCACAGGTTACAGAACACATACTTATACATAAGACAAACACATCAAAATGAAATCTACAATATTATGACACTTTGTTAAACAACTTTTTATACTAACATCATCTTAAAATTAATATAATTTCTCATAAACACCAATTTAGTTTATTAATGATGTTTTTAGTATACAAAGTATTGTATGAAGTTTATTTTAAATTGCTTGATTTAGTTTTCACGAGCCGAAGGTCAGTTATATGTTATTATAGTAATTATTATAAAGGCTCTCTGACAGTGCTGACGGAAAATAGGGTGACTTTAAGTTTTCACTGACGCTAAACTACATATTTTCTTAAATATATCTAAACAGCGCTGTAGCGCGGATACGCACAAACCTCTATGCGTTCGATTTAAGAGTAGATAAAGAGACTGAACATAGTATTAACATTGGTCACGTATAAGTCACTGTGATGTTAGGTTGTTGTTGTTTGATAGTTATCTAAATTTACAGAGAGGACTAATTCGGATAGGAGAAAACGAATATTTCATTGAACCGCTGAAAGGACATGACGTCAGCAAAGATTCCAAACACCCACATATTATATACAAGAGGGCGGCAGAGAGTCCAATTTTAAGTGAATCCTATGAAAATACATCCACTTCGAGAGGTACCTGTGGGAATGACGGTATGTTTCTTTTATAAAATGTACAATTTGCCTTATTAACATGATACACAGAATACAAAAACAACTAGCTAAAAATACCAGCTGTGTGATATATATCAAAATCTTAAATGTCGATGGTTTCCATAAGTGTCACTAGTTATTCTGAGATGTTACATATTTATATATATATAAGTAACAAGCTGAAATAACCGTCAACTGACGGGGAATGTTTGAACTGAATAAAATAGCCTCCCAGTGTAAGATTATCAGCAATCTTGTATTTCAAAGTAATAACTTCATCATAAACTTTATCTCAAAATTTTAAAATTATAACAAAGCTTCTTCAAAAACAACATTTCCAATTTGTTTTTCATCTACCAACAAATAAAGATTTTGAGGTGATCCCACCCTTGAATACCCTACATCTCATTGACCATGAGAAGAGCATGGTTGTTTGTGAAACAATCAATCAGCTTTCATACTTTAAACTTGAATCCCATTAGAATATTCAACATTGTCTAAAGCGTCAACCTGCCAAGGTTGTTTGAGATTGACTAAATAGGCTGGGAGTAATTAACCAACAGGCTTTACAAAATAGAAATAGGGTTAACTTCAATTTTGAGCCCTTTAGGACATTCCCTACAGATCATAGTGTTTATATACAAATTTTGGTTGACATTGGCCCAATAGGCTCGGAGGAGTTAGGGTCCAATCAAACACACATTTCGTCTATATATATAGATTAAAACCTTGGATGTGTAACAAATGTTGCATAGTTATAAAAGTATAAACATATATGTAAAGTTAAACTTTTTAACAGATTAAGCTTCTTTGGTCGTTGAAACCAAAACATATCGTTGTGCTGTTTTGATCTCAAGATTATGCTTCAAAATGTAAGTAAAGAAAAGATACACCTAAACAATTAAACTCGCTGTAGGACCGGGGGGGGGGGAGTCATGGGATCAATGCTTCTACTAAGGGTTGGCCACATAATTCTCTTCCACCCCTCTTAAAGAGATTTTAAACGTTTCCTTTCTGTTTCTCAAATTTCATCACGTGTTAATTTATACAAAATAATTAGAACCCGAAAATTTATGGTAAAGAACAACTTTTATAAAATCATACTTTTTAATTTGCTTATCAACTGATATTTAATCCATAAAGTTGTGTATACTTTCTTTCATATATACATATTATATTCATGGAAAAACTATACAAGAAACTTATTATTTTACATGTTGCATGGTATTATTATTACATTTTCTGAAATATATTATTATGTATGTTGCGTAGTATTATTACATATTTTTAAATCTATTATTATGTATGTTCTGTAATATTACATATTTTAATCTTATTAAATATATTTTGTTAGAAACTTAATACATTTTTAAGCCGATGCTTTGGACTGAAAGTGCATACAAAACAACGCTGGTAATATACGGTCAAAAGTAAGTAAACGTAATACATCTATGGTTATTATCTTAATGGTAATTCAACGGTGAACAGTAATGTTCTACCGACATCTTTGAATCAGTTGCAGACCATAGTTTACAGAGAATTTTGTGGGGTTTATATCACGCCGAGTCTAGGATATCATAGCAGCAAAATGAACCTCTTCTCCCTATAAATCCAACGTCTTGGTTAATTAACCAATCAGTGCGTAAATAAAACTTTCGTAACTTTTTATATGATATAAAGTTGAATTTATCACATTAATCACTGTCTTTAGTTATAATTACATTTACATAAAGAATTACAGTATTCGATTTAATCGTTTATATTATACTTCAGATTATATCTTACTTAATACACGTTATAAGATGTATATTTACTTCACTTTAGCAACTATACTTAAATGTTCCTTTCTTAATACCCGCTATAAGATGTATATTTACTTCACTTTAGCAGCCATAGTTAAATGTTCCTTACTTAATACCCGTTATAAGATGTATATTTACTTCACTTTAGCAGCCATAGTTAAATGTTCCTTACTTAATACCCGTTATAAGATGTATATTTACTTCACTTTAGCAGCCATAATACTGACAACACTGTTAACGTCTTTCTATAGACAGTGATAAGGACAACATCGGTAAAAGACAGCTATGGGAACGGAAGCACACAGCACGCAGTCCTGTCCGAACGAAACGATCAGTCAGTAAAGAGAAAAACGTTGAAACCCTTGTTGTGGTTGATAAAAAAATGAAAGATTTTTACCATAACGATGATGTAGAGACTTACGTTTTAACCATAATGAATATGGTAAGTTCAATAAAAACATATTCATCTATTTCTATATTCAGTATTAAGTTTGTAAATGTTAAAAATAAGCGAGTTTTGTGTTCTAGAATGAGTTTCTGATGGTTTTTATAGAAAATGTGAAACTGTTAAATAATGAAATGATATCGTTTCAACCTATCTGTTAGTTTTTATGTTTTTCATAATAAGTGACTGACTTATTCTTTGTTTTAGGCTAGTCTTTCTCATTGGGCTCAATCCAGTTTGTCTAATATCATGACCAAGCAAATTACTAACATAACACAAAATCATTATTATCTTTCACCAAAGTCTTCTCAGAAACATTCAAACACAGGATCTTTATATTTTTAACTTTGTTTAACGCAAACTGGAGTTTATTAAGTGACATTTTTATAAACGTAAATAAAATAACGACCTATATCTCCAGAATGTAACTTTATTAGCTCAATATTTCTATATTAAATCATTAATAACAAGTTCAACATACAAGAAAGAAACACGATGTATGAAAAATAACCGTAAAGCTACTAAATATGGACTACATGGTAGATGCCATAGTAAAAACGTTGTGTATGAATAAACTTGTGACAAATGCTCTAATATGTATATAGGAGAAACTTGTCGACCCGTACATGATGGAATATCTGAACATGTGCGTGACATTTAAAACCTCAATACGAAGAATGCTATTATAGAACATTATGGAAAGGTACATGGCTTACCACAAACGGATAACATCTTATTGGATGTCAAGATATTTTCTAAATGTCATAATTTTCTGGACCGAAGGATTAAATAATCCATTTTAATCAAGAAAAATAAACCTAAATTGAACAAATACAAAGCTTGGTCATTAGTGTAGAGATGTTAATAGCATTTTAATATGTTGAACTTTGACGAAGTCTTTATACACACACATTAGCCTCCCAGTGGCACAGCGGTATATCTGAGGCCTTAGTACGCTAGAAACCGGGTTTCGATACCCGTGGTGTAGCTTTGTGCTTAATTACAAACAAATAAACAAACACAATAGGGATGAAATCTATTTTCAGTCATTGTTTTGTGTATGTGTCGATATAATAATGTGAAACAATACTTACGAATACAAATATGAAGGATATTTTACATATGTAACATATCCTATTCTAGATCCAATGATTTTAATAGTTTACCTCTTAGTTTACACATATTTATTTAGCATTCTTGGTTTGATTTGTTTCAACAGTTTAAATTCAAGAATGTTTGATATTATTTTAATATGATCTCAACCTTGTTTGTTTTTTTAATTTCGCGCAAAGCTACACGAGGGCTTCCTGCGCTAGCCGTTCCTAATTTAGCAGTGTAAGACTAGAGGGAAGGCAGCTAGTCATCACCACCCACCGCCAACTCTTGGGCTACTCTTTTACCAACGAATAGAGGGATTGACCGTCACATTATAACGCCCCCACGGCTGAAAGGTTTCGTGGGACGGGGATTCGAACCCGCGACCCTCAGATTGCGAGTCGAGCGCTCTAACCACCTGGCCATGCCGGGCCTGATCTCAACCTGCTAAACACGTGTGTCGATATTCGATTTACTGACGACGGTGTTCCAATTTAGATTTAACTGGATTAGTGAACGAGTAGGATATCGATAGCTCCTGGAGACGCTGTAATAGCGAAATATTGAACTAATAAAGTTACATTCTGGAGATGTAGGTTTTATTTTATTTACAGGATCATATTAGTAAACTTACATTAAACTACTGTCTCTCGACGAGATTACCGTTCGTTTCTGTCTCGAGGAGCTAATAGTGGAAAAAGAAGTATCTTATATAAACACAACAATACATATTATTTAACGTATCTTAATAAAATTACTCCGTCACGACACAAACGTTTGAGAATTAACGTTCGGTATGTTTTCCTCTAGGTGTCTTCACTCTACCACGACGCAACCATTGGTAATGCTATTAATATTGTACTGGTTCGTGTTATCATTTTGGACGAGGACGATGATGAGGCAAGTTTTTGTTGAATATCTTAACGTAAATTTCGCTTTTCTTCTATTGTGTATTTGTTTTGAACGTTTATAATAAGTAGTGATAACATTAATTATAAATATTATTTTGCATCAGATCGCTTCGTTTTCGAAAATATTTCGATAATTACATATGACCTTAGTTGATTTAAAAACACTTGCTAGCTCATGTATTCTAAATAAGAAGCTAATGAAAGTTTCATGTTCGAATGATTTAAGCGTTATTTATCCGGTTTTTACGGTATCAATGAGTCAGCACCGTAGTCACTGCTGCATGTTTGTTCAAGATCACCTGCGCAGATTTCCTGTAAAAACATGCTTGTTAAACCTGCGTAATAGATCACAAGTCAAGACGAACAACAATACAATAATATGGATTTAGACATTTCTTAACTAGTGTATTAGGTATATAGCACAACCCTCGAATAATTAAGTTAATTAATACTGTTACGTATCTGCTTGTTTGATAATTTCCGGTAGAAATTCTTTTCGAGGAATTTCAGTGATACAAGTCCTTTCTTGATTAAACCAGTTTATTCTTCCACGATACAAACTTTTAGTATACAGTAATTCCAAGTCAATACGTTTCTCGTCACTTTAAACCTAACAACTTTTATAATATAAGCTATAAATTACAGCGATTCACAATCTCGATAACTTGACTCTCGACGAGTGCAAACTCACACTTTATATTACCGTAACTACTGTTCGCTTCTTTAATTATCTATCTATCGCTGGCTTCTCTGTCAAGCTTATATACCAACGAAGGGGCGTCTCGAATACACTCGGGCCTCCCCGATCATTTATGATCATTCGAAAAATTCATCACGTGTCACCAGAGTCACGTGACTTTCGCTGTCGTAACAATACTGTAATCATTTAGATTAAAGGGTTGACTATTGTATTTGGTATATATCACAACTCTCGAATAATTAAGTTAATTAATACTGTAATCATTTAGATTAAAAGGTTGACTATTGTATTTGGTATATATCACAACCCTCGAATAATTAAGTTAATTAATACTTTAATCATTTAGATTAAAGGGTTGATTATTGTATTTGTATATATCACAACCCTCCAATAATTAAGTTAATTAATACTGTAATCATTTAGATTAAAGGGTTGATAGAAAGGAAGAATTATGAATATATACTTCAATTTTTTGCATTCATATTCTTAATGATAAATTTTCTTGTTCACTAATCTTCATTTAAAACCAAATATACTAAATTAACAAACATCTTGATGAAGACTGAAAAACCTCATTCTTTCAAGAAAAATGTTAACGGCTTGCTAACCTTTATTGGATTGATACACAAACAGAACGATCAAAGATTACTGTGGGAAAACAAGATATTAGGATCTGCAAATGGGCGAAACGAAACACAAGTGTAAAATAAAGACATATATATAATCATTTTAAACACTGAACAAGTGCAAATAGAAACGCAATACACTTTGACAGCGGTACTTGAAGGACGGAACAGAAGAAGATAAATAAAACTTGTACTCGAGCTGATGGAAACTAAAGTTAATGTGAAATAATCAAAATAAAGATGACACAGATTCAGAAACTTGTTGAATGACATTAAAGAAGACAGAGAAACAAAACATAATAAGACTTTACGGGTTCAAAGTTGAAAAGAGACTATTATTTTGTAGAGTTTAATGGAGACTGGCCGAAATTTTACATATGTTTCACCATCCAAATTGTAAGTCCATGCAGATTCATTTGGATCTAACCAAATCACACTATATCTCCGCTTACACGTTGCAGCTGAAAAAGTTGTGAACGATAAGTAGAATCTACTTGTTTACTGCAGCTATAGAAAACATTAAATAACGTATAAAATATCATATATCTGCTGTGTGCAGATTTTTCGTTTAATATCAAATGTTAGTTCTATTGTAACGTACAAAAGGACGGCAATGTATCATTATATATACATAAATACATTAACAAATAAATTAAAGCAGTTATTCATTAAAGTTACTTTGCGTTTCGTATTACAGTACACCATTAAAAGGCTAAAAAGGAAAAGAATATTATGAAATTTTGAGAATATTAAACTTGTATTATGCTTTTATGGTTCGTTTGTTATTAATATTGTTACGTCTCTGTGTTCGTTTGTTAATTTTCCGTATAATTTATTTCCGATGAAACTTCAGCGATACAAGTCTTTTCTTAAATAAAACTAGTTTATTCTTTCTCAATTTAACTTTGCAATACACTTAATTTCCACAGCCACTTTAAATTAAACACACGCTATAATTCACAACGAACGATTCACGCACTTTACCGCACTTGACTCAATGATGGTCCCACTTCACCATCATCAACTCCTTCAGTCACTTTGATTTCAGCCTGATGGCACCTGGTTAGTTTAACCTCTCTTTTAACATTTACCGGGATTTGGCCTTTGTTGTTCCCAAACGTCATTTTATCAAAATTAATTACACACTCCCTTGGTAGTAAGTAGTC